GAGAGAGAGAGAGAGAGAGAGAGAGAGAGAGAAACACTGCTATATGCTGGGCACAGTTCCAGGTACTCAGAATCTAGTCATGAACAAAACAGAGGCAACTTTTTGTCTTATGCCAAGCAGATCTCACAGGGACAATAGTGATATTTTAAATATATGTGTGAATATACTTTGTACATAATTATCAAATAAAGCATATATTTATGAGCTGGTTTGTGTTGTCAGTCTTTTCCTACTAAACACATGCATGTGGATGCATGTGTGAAAACAGGCATTAAGAAGGGAAGGTGAATATTTGGCATTGAAATTTCATATTGTAGAGCACTATAGTCTGGATGATCATACCCTGCAGTTTCTCTACCAAAGCCCTGACACTCAGTCTGGATGAGAGCACTTCACAGACAATCAGACTTAGATGGCATTAAACAGGAGGGACATGCATGCAGAGGGTGGAGGAAGGGAGGGATTGGGATGGGAGGAGGGAAGGAACCACAGGGGGGATACAAAGTGAATAAAGTATAATTAATTAAAGAATAAAAAAAAAAAACAGGAGGAGTTCCGATGATCAGCATCCTTATAAGAAAAGGAAGAGACCAGAGCTTTCTGAGTCTGCCATGTGAAGACATAAGAAGAACCAAGAAGGGAGTGCTAACCAGACAATGGCTCTCCTGAGACCTTCATCTTGGACTCCTTATCACCGGAGGAACATGAAGAACATTTTTTTTTTCTTGACCTAGTCTATGGTATTTTGCCCTAGTATCCGGAGCTAACTGAGACATCTAGCTAGAGTAGGCCTTGCTGAGAAAAGGGAAATGAGTCAATTGCTGACTTCAAGACAGCGCACAGATGGGGGCAGCAACCAGAGTGGCTTAGAGGAGAGTGACTGAAAATAGGGAATGAGAGATAATGAAGGAGAGATTGGGGATTTCTTTACGGTGGATTCTTTTTTCAGAGTTGTACTGTTCTCTCTTTTATTGCTTCCATGGCTCTGTTCTACAAGATCTTTCTCTTTTTTTAATTTTTATTTATTTATTTACTTATTTACTTATTTCAATTTATTCACTTTGTATCCCCACTGCAGCCCCTCCCTCGTCTCCTCCCAGTCTCACCCACCCTCCCTCTTTTTTCCTATGCCCCTTCCCTAGTCCACTGATAGGAGAGGTCCTCCTCCCCTTCTATCTGACCCTAGCCTATCAGGTCTCATCAGCACGGGCTGCATCATCTTCCTCTGTGGCCTGGCAAGGCTGCGCCCCGCAGGAGGAGGTGATCAAAGAGCTGGCCATGAGTTCATGTCAGAGACAGCCCCTGTATCCCTTACTAGGGAACCCACTTGGAAACTGAGGAGTCTATAGGCTTCATCTGAGCAAGGGGTCTAGGTTCTCTCTATGCAAGGTCCTTGGATGGAATATCGGTCTCTGGGTCCCTGGGCCCAGGTTTTTTGGCTCTGTTGGTCTCCTTGTGGAGTTCCTGTCCCCTGCAGATCTTTCTATCTCCCTCTTCTTCCATAAGATATCCTGCACTCTGCTCAAAGTTTGGCTGTGAGTCTCAGTGTCTCCTTCGATACGCTTGTGCGTACAATCTTTCGGAGGTCCTCTGTGGAAGACTCTTGTCCTGTTCCTTGTCTTCTCCTACTTCCAATGTCTATCCTGTTTGCCCTTCTGAGTGAGGTTTCATCCTCTTCCCTAGCGTCCTCCTTGTTGTTTAGCTTCTTTAGGACTATAGATTTTAGTAGGTTGATCCTATTTTATATGACTAATATAATAAGTGAGTATATACCACGTGTGTCTTTCTGCTTTCGGGTTATATGGTAGATTATTTTTATCCCAGAACTCTGTTTGTTCTCTAGCACAAGAGAGAAAATATAATGAGTGGAGCTCACAAATAGTACAGAACAGACTACCACAGAGCTCAGAGAACATACAGTTTAATTTAATGAAGAGACACGTTTATTTTGTTTCTGAGCTGACAGTAGAAAGACCGAGTTCTCTGCTGAGATCTAACGGCTCCATGTCTGAATCACTGGAAATTGTTGATTACTTTCATCCCATTGAGGACGATGTTTAGTAACACCAACAGGCAGAGACCATCAGCAAGCTGCCTGTCCCTGTGTCCTAAGACAGCACTAAGCCTCACGCATGTGTTCTTGTGGCACCCAGCCTGCCCATGGGTGGGCGGTGTAGTCAACATAGTGCCCCTGACGCCTGAGCGGGGCATTTTAACAAGTCAAAATCAAGCTTCCAAACACAAGTGAGTATCTCCTCACCACTCCTGGGTCACCCAAGGCCAGTTCAGATTGGTTGCCCGCTTTCTGTCTGTCTGTGTTGTCAACTTGACACACTCTTGACTTATCTAAGAAGATAGATAAGTCAAGATATTGAGCAAATGCCTCTGTAGGCATTTGCCGTGAAGCATTTTCTTAACTAGCAGTTGATTGGTGATTAATTAGCAGTGTCGCCTTGAACTGGTGGTCCCGGAGTGTTTAAGAAGGCAGGCTGAGCAAGCCATGAACCAAGCAGTAAGCAGCACTCTTCCTGGTCTCTGCTTCAGGTTCTGCCTCCAGGTTCCTAAGTCAAGTTCCTGCCTTAACTTCCCTCCAAAATGGAGTGTGACCCAAGAGTTAGTTGTAAGTTGAAATAAACCCTTTTTCTCCAAGCTGCTCTGGTCATGTGCTTTTATCACAGCAATAGAAATCCTAAGACAGTGGCGTAAAGCAATGACCACCTTTCTGTCTCACTGGAGATACTGCACATCAGACCAGCCCACTTTTCAAACATGGAGTAAGCTTGCTTTGTTAATTTGTATATGTTCTCCACCTATTCTCTGTGAATATTGTGGGATGGAATACCTGACATTCAAGAAACTCTTGCTTCTCCTTCGATAATTGCTTCATGTGTCCCCAGTGAGGCTCTCCTTCCTGTGCTATTGTGTTATGTCCCATCTTGTACTTATCCTCCAACATTTTCAAGACAGCCTGGGCAGATTCAGCTTCTTCCTGTACTATTGGGAAGGATAATCAAAGAGAAAATTAATGTGGCATTTCTGAGCCAGCTGCCCCTTTCTGCTATTGCTGCTATTTCATAGAAGGAATTCTATCACCTTAATTTTTCACTCAAAAAAATAAATCCCACTGCTGTTGACAGCATTTATGCCTTATTCATGAGTGTTGTCGTGAGCTATAGAATGCCTTTACTATATAAACACCATTATATAATATATGTAATATAATATACAGACAACATATGTTATATATATAATATAAAGACATATCGATATATCATTATATAATAACGTATCTGTCTATCATTGCAGTTTAATGATTATATGTGGAAGAACAGGAAGGGCTGGTAGCTAGCCAAAGGGTTTTTATAGACAGCAGACGCTAATCTTTGACTACTAACACATTTACTGTTGCAGATGTGAGAATTCTAGTGGATCACTGGCTACATACTGTGCAGCCTTGACCCCACTGAGAACTTATACAGTCTACACATCCAAGGCAGGCTTCTTCATAACTGCTGGAAGATGATGACCTCCTTCTCATAACCATTGACCACAAAGCAGGCTCAAGTCTAACTGCACCAAAAGACACTGTTCAGCCCCTTCAGACTCATTCTGTAAGCGTAACGCTCCAGGGCATCCCAAGGAGCAGGTAAATCCTGCATAACACTTCAGGGCCACCCCAGGGCACAGTGAACCCTGCATAAAACTCCAGGATGCCACAGGAGCAGAGGAAGCCTGGGCAAATGCTCTGGATTGAAGATGTCCAGAGCATGGTGGGAATAAGGAAGTAAACCGGCTTCTGGCAGCTAACTGCCTATTTTAAACAGCATCTTGATCACATAAGTGAAAGTGCATTTCAACGTGGGGTGGACTTTTCACAAAGGGTTCTGCACATAGCTAGTGGGTAACACATTTTCTTCCTATGTTATCTTTATAAACTTGATGGCGAAACAGATATGCAAGCACCAGGAGTGTAAGTTCATTTAGTGGAAATCATCTGATGTCCTGAAGTTGCGCTTGAGTCTGTACCCGGCACGAGTGTGGAGGAGAAAATTCTGCTCTGGATTCTTGAATTGTAATAACATGTGAGCAAGGTACCTCTTTCTCTATTTCTCTTCTCCAGAGCCTGAATTTCATTCTGCAGTCTTATACTCTCTTCTTTCCACCCCTTCTTGATCAGTTCTTCCTGTTCCTAAAAAGAAAATTGAATAATAGAGCTCCAAGAGTAACAAGATGGGTGAATTTATTTCCATTTGCCCTTCTGAGATAGACTGGATCCATTGTTAACTTGAAGTGTTTTATCTAGATCCTCCTGTTATGGGCTCCAAGAGAGAGAATTTGAATTTGGTGGCCTAAATGGTAACAACCCGGTATTACAATGGACAAGACTGCATTGGCCTATTCAGAGATTTACTTTTATCTGGGAGAAAGTTAATATTAGAAAGGTCAACTTGAACCTGCTGTTCGTACTACAACAGACAATGGAAGCCACCATTGTTGCTATCAAGGCAGAGAGAAGAAGGTCTTGAGTGCCTCAGATAAACAGCCCCGCAGAATTGCAAGCTCTTAGATGTTCTGGTGGTTCAGGTAGGAGGGGTTTCTGCAATGCTTAATGAAAGGGATTGCATTTGGATCAATTGTTCATGAAAATAAAAGGAGAAGATTAAGGTAGTCTGTGAAATTTAGCAATACACTAAATTTTTTGTGCTTTTGAATGATCAGTGGATGAGGAAGCTGAAACGACACAGCTAAATACCTGCAGTTTAAGGGCCAGAACCCTCTCTTGCTCCTGCAAAAACTGAGCTCTCTCCCTCTTCATCTTCTCAGTCAACTGTCTCACTCGTTCCTGATGACACCTTTCTTTCTCCATCATCATCTGCGCATGCCTCTCTTTCATTTCCTCCAACGTTTTCACAGCAGCCTGTGCAGAGTCAGCTTTTGCTCGCTCCACTGAGGAGGAAAAAAGGAAGAAAAGTAAGCACCTTCTCACTATTATCCCTTTCCTTGTCCTCCACTTCTGAAAAGGAAGATGTGTGACTTTAGAGAGGGAATCACATAGGACTGTTTGTTCTTGGACGGAGCCGTGACATTGATGAGCGCAGCCACCAATCTCAGCAATGGCTTCAGGAGGCAAGACAGTCTTGCTCTACCTGCTCTGGTTGAACGAGAACAGGTGTAGTAGGGAAATATTGGAACATTTGAGAAACAGTGCATAGAGTTTCCTGGACCTTACCTTCAATCTCCTTTTGTTTTACTGTCAGAGCCTGGTCTCTCTGTAGAATTGCCTCGGCCATAGCCTCACTGGACTGCAAGTATGCCTGCAGAATCTCCTCAGCCTAAGAGCCCCAAGAACACAGGTTAGCAGAAGGAAATGGTCCAAGTGTTCGTCTCTGTCTGTCTCTGCCACTTTTTTGTCTAGGAACTATGCTTCTTGTGTGAGGTGGTGCTGGAGCTCAAGTCTCCCTGTCACATCCTGCCACTAAGGCAATTGTAAAACCTTCTAGAAAGAGTCCATAAGAAGTGACAGGGACATGGAAACAAAAAGAGCTGCTGATCTTCAAATGGAGAGCCATTTCCATTATTGGAGACATTAGAACTATGGCTCCCTGTGGACTGAAGAGGCTCAAGAATGATCCATTCATAGTGGGAATTTTTGAGGAACTGAGACAGAAAGGAGAAAGGAGGGAATTGAAGGCAGAGGTAACACCTGACAAGCAGAAGAGATGACCTTCTTTGCACTCTTGGTTCCTGTTTCCCTTAAAGCCAGCTTGAAGGCAAACTTATAAAGAATCATAATTAGGCAACTACCATTGCTATCTGTCCTCTGTAACATCAAATGCCTAGCTGTAACCCAGAGTGGGTTACCTCATAATTCAGGATATTTGAATGCACTGCCTTTGATGGTACACATCTGATGTCATTAATAGGCTCCCTTGGTAGTTTGTTGAGAGGTTTGAAGACTGAGTGCTATGCATTGAAAACCCCACATCCATGTGCAATCACATCTGGTCACAATGGTGTTCCAAGCAGGCATGCCAGTAGCCTGTCAGTGTTAATAGCCTGGTTACCTGGATCCCCTTCCTGGGTTCCCTGAGGTACTTTTGCTTCAGCTCCTCTCTCTTCTCCACAAAGAGAAGATATCCTCCTGGCTGAGAATAAGCACCCCTTGCCATTGCTTCTTCTAGAGGGCTGAAGATGTTCCGCAGTAACTCTGAGCACCGAGCTGATGATGCTCTCACATTCTCCTTATAGGCGCCATCCCACCTCCTTTCCAGCTGTGCCTTTAGTTCAAAAACAGGAGGGAAAAGAAGTAACAGGAAAACTTCAGCCCGCCCTCAGAACGAGAGGCAATTCTCCATGGGGACTCTTGGTACTTATGGCAGCGCCTCATCTTTTCTCTCAACCTGGGCTTTCTTGAGAAGCCCATTCTGCATCTAAAGGGTGTTTAGCACAACGGTGGCTACTTTTCCAACACACGACTGACACAGTTCCAAGGCAAAGCAGACCAGTCATAGCCGTGAAGGGATGACTGTGACAGAATATCTGCCTGGTCAGGTTTCTTTGCTTGTCTTTAGTTTGTCCGCAAACCAGTATGATGACACGAGGTGTCTTATGAAATTTGAGCTTCTGATTTTCTTTTATATGAGACTGTAAATTTGTATATTTCAAAAGCCTCAGAATTTGAGCCCATAACCAGAATGGTCTTTTCAATGCTTAGCAAAAGATGACTGTCAACATTTAGTAACACGTGCTTATCAAAACAAATGCCCAATATTTCCTCATAATAGTCTGAATTTCACAACCCCCACCCCTTCAAACATCACATAAATTTACCAATAGCTCTTTTTTAAATGAATGGTCTTCGTCTTTAAAGGCGTTCCTGAGGAAGATGTCCATGGCCTCTCTCTCACAGGCCCTGTGCAGGTCCAGCAGCTCCTGGAGGGTCTCTGTGGGCAGCTGCACCCTCTGGCTCATCTGCTGGTTATAGTGGGTGATGGCCTTCTGCACGGCAGCCGAGTTCTCTATCTGGGACAAGGCCAGGACAGCATTCTCCACGCAGGGCAGAGTCCCACTGTTGATGGCATTGAGGTATGTGAGCACCAGTATCTCTAGTCCTACATTTAGAGAACAGGTGATATTTGTTTTAGAATGAAGTCGTCTCCGTGTTTTGTGGTTCTGAGAATGCATACAAACGATCAATATGCCCTTCAATAGTAGGAATATTACCCAGAAGCCTGGTAGCAACTGCAGGCCTCAAATGTAACCAAGCTCACCATTGCCGAGAGGAACTTTGAGGCAAACAAGAGTGTTTTGCATCTGTGGCTCCCATTATGGAGAGGTACTCGCCTTGTATAGTAGCTACTTAGCTCTCAGCATGTGGGCATATGCGCTGAATATGTACTCTTTGAAATCAACTTACATTTAACCTAAATAGTCACATACGAGTCTTTGGATGCCAACTTGGGCAGTGTTACCCCAGACAAATAGGGAAATGCTCTGGACAGAGTCTCTTTGCTCTGAAAACCTTTTCAAAGACAGTGAATTTTCTTACGCACAAATTTAAGGATTGCTTGAGGATATCTGGAATTTGGAAAAACTGTCAAAAACGAAGCAGGTGGGTGTTATTTTTACCATGGACGAGCATATTCCCTACAGCTATCAGGAAGAGCTGGGCAGGCGACTCACGGGCTCCATTGACTTCAATGCCTCCCGGGAGAGCTTTAGCCTTGGAAGAACTGAGCACAAAGGAACAGAACTCTGCCACCTGCCGCACAAAGTCAGAATCCAACTCATTGTCCTGCAGGCTCTCGAGCTTAGAGAGCTTCCTCCACTCTGTGGGTGGACAGAAGACAAAGCACTTCTTCTTGGGGAAGAACTTTCGGATACAGAGTCGGGACAAGTTGTAATTGTTATCACCTGGAGAAAGTTTAAAAAAAAACCCAAATACGTATATATACCTATGTGTAAATATACACATAGCCACACAGTTAGTAGTGGGTTAAATGTGTAGCTTATGGGTTTCCTGTAATAAAATAATAATAATAATAATAATAATAATAAATAAAACTTCTCCACGTTTCTGGTGGTGTGCATCTCTACATGACCTAAGAAAGAGATCAAAACAACCTGATCACAGAAGAGAGTAAACATGTCTCCATTGCCAGGAAACCCTATAATTCGAATCGGCATATTGAGACAGAGAGCATAAACTACTTCTTAGAAATAGTCTGGAAGTGAAAAATAAGATAATAAATATTGACATCTGCAAAAAAGATTCTGGTATTCTCCTTCCTGTCTTTTAATGAACAATCCAGGTACCTTGCTTGAGCTTCAGGGAATTCTCTAGGTACTGATCCGCTGAGAGGGCTTGTCCATCTGCATCCAGCCGCACAGTCACATCCCTCAGAGCCCACACAAAGTCAGGGAAGAAGTTCACAAACTCCTCCGAATCCTCAGCACCACTGCTCTGAGCTGGGGATGTGCTCCTGATCCTCTCTGTCAGCTCTGTCACGTATCTGAGAAGCTAAGGAAAGTAGGGGCCAAATCTTCACACGAGTCTCACCTAATCCCACACTTGGGGTTGCCTTCCTCTGACCCAACTATCAACTGATTGATAGGTATATGACATTGCCATCATCACGCCACTCTGCATCTGGATAGACACAAACACACACATGTATATGTGTACATGTAAATACATATATATATAATTTAACTCTCCAGGCTACATAAGACACTGTCCTTTTAACAGAAGACTGTCAGTCTTTCAGGCTCTCCTCTTTCTCTTCTCCCTCCCTGTGTGTGTGTGTGTGTGTGTGTGTATTTATGCTCTGTCCTCCAAAAAGGATCCTGCAGCTGGTCCATGGCCTGCTGGTTGATGGCCCCCATGCTGTTGTAGATGAAGGTGCTGCTGAGAAGGATAGCCAGGGCGAAGATCCAGCTGTCATTCTCACTGTCACCCTGGAAGCCAGAACACATGTGCGTCAGGAAAATGTTCGTTTTACGTAACTCTCCAGGTCAACCTAACATAAGTATGACCATCTAGCATGTTTCTAGAAGAGTTAGGAAAACATATATACTATTTATGACTTATGCAAGCCATCACGATTCAAATACAAATGTCCAAAGAGGTTGACAATTTCTTCTTGTTAGTCCCCTGAACACTGTGTATTAACCACATTGCTCTTCAGTGATCTGTCAGGTAAAATTTTTCCTCAACTCTGGTAGCTACACTTAGGCCCATGTCAGGTAAATAAAAATGAAATGGCATCACAGCTTCCCAAGGTAAAAGACGAGGGGATGGACAGCAAGCCAATCCCTCAACACATACTTTCTCAACATCGCCCAGGCCCTCCGTGTCAAGCAGAACCAGGGTGAGCTCTGCCTTCTGGGGATGAGGCAGACACCACATCCAGATTCCTTTGGTGTGAGACTGCACTGAGGAGCCCAAGGAGAAGCCTGCAGAGCAGAGAAAAGAGGAACATAGTTAATAGCAGGTTTTTCAAGAGACTGATAGAAAATTAGCACCCTAAAGGCCAGCATGGGTAACTGAAACCAAAGTTTCAGCAGAGAAATAGTTTCCCTCCATACAGCACGCACGGGGCACATGCCCATTCCATCTTGCCCTCAAGGTTGCAGAAACCAGATGATTCACTGAAAATGCTGTGGGAAAGGCTGTGTTGGGGAAACGCCCGTTGCGGTGGGGACCCACTGAGAAAAGCCAGAGGCACTGAGGGAGCAGCCTGAGATGAAGTTCATGGTTCTGAAGCCTCCACCTGCTCTGGAGGCTGGGGGTGGGTGCTCCTACTCTTTGCCTGGGCTGTAGTTCTGTTTTGGCAAGGTCTCTCTTTCTGACGTGTTTGCCCTCTGGAATGGAAACTTATATTCTGCACTGTCATGTACTGGAAGCATGTAACTGGTATTTCCATTGTCCAGGCGATCAAAACTAAAAGTTTCACTTGAATCTCAAAAAAGACTTTTATATGCTATCAGAAGGTTAGCCTGTGAGGACTATGGAAATTGAACTCCATGAATTCTCCACTGTGAGATGGCCATACCCAGTAGGGCCCAGAGGCAGAACGCTATAGTTGGTGCGTGCAATGTTCCCCTCAGGTTCATGCTTTAACACATGGTCCCAGCCGGTAGTGCTAGTTTTTGAAGGCGTGGACCTTTGGGATGTGAAGACTGGCTGGCCTAGGTAGGCTAGAAGAAGAGGAGCTTTGATGATTAATAGTGATCCCAACTTGGGTCTTGTTGCCAAGATGTGATCTGAACAGTCCATAAGCCTCCACCACCACGGAGGGAAATGTTGTGTCAAGTCTTCCTTGCCATAATGGAGGGAAGAGAGCACTTTAACAGTGAGTCAAAGTAAACCCTTCTTCCTACATTTGTTTCACTTGGATATTTGATCACAGCAACACAAGCAGAGTACAATCTAAAATAATTGCACGGACCCAAGTTCATATTAGCACTAGTCACAGCAGCCAAAAGTTTCTTTGTACGGACAAATGGATAACAAAATTGTTATACCTTTACAATTTTTGAGCCCTAAAAGGGAAGAAAACTTGATGCTTGTTCTAGAGATGTTAAATCTTGACGCAATCATGCTAAGTGAAAGACGCTAGTTACAAAGAGGCACATATAATGAGTCCATTAGTGTTAAGTTTATAAGCACAGAATGTCCGATAATAGGAGGAGGTGGACAGTTGATGTGTTCCATCTCCCTGGGAGGAAAGGAGATAGTTCTAGAGATAGATGGGGATGATGGAAACACAAAAATATAAACGTACCTACTGCCACAAAACCATATATTTGATAGTAATTGTAAATTTTATGTTAGATATTTTACAAAAGTAAAAAAATCTACTATAGACAATATGCATTGCAACTTTTTAAAGTTTAGATACCAGTTTGTTGTTATAGAAACATCTTAACAATGCACTAAAGTTTGTCAATACATAAATTAGTAATTTGTATTACTGCTTACATCTAGAAAAGGAATGAC